TTGATTTAAAAAAAGACTTTAAGTATCTTTGCGAATAAAGTTGATCAATTTAGTTAATCTGCAAATAAATACATATGACCTGTTGGAATGAGTTTTCCATTGGAATTTCTATTAGATTTTGATAATTTCAACAGCTGTGAAAATAAAAATTCTAACGAAAATTTCTATGGTAAAAAACCGTTGGAAAAATAGTCGTCGAAATCATCAAACTCCATCTATAACCGTTGGAAGACTAATTCAAACGAAATATTTTTGTTGAAATTTCCGTTGGAATCATTTCAACAAAAGCTATACCATTACAATATTCATTGGAATTTCCATTAAAATATATTACCGTAGAATTTTCTGTTGGAATATAACAATTTTGGAGTGTTAAGGCACATAACATTTTCTTTTAATAGAGAAAAATAGAGATAGCTACTGCAACTCCTTAAAAAAATCTCATTCTCTTGCAAGTAAATGAAAAGACATCTTCGTGTATTGGGGGGAAAAAAATCACCACTCTCATTCCTCTACAATCAAATAAAATATGTATGATTAAGGTACTCTCTATGTTATTCTCAGCCCATGAAAATTATGTCTGCTTGTATCGGAGATTGGTTTATGCCACAGTGGAGTGAATCACAGGTGTAGTGAAGATATTGTTAGGACCAATAATTCAAAACTCAATTCTCCATCAAGCTTAACATACAAGTCTAAATGGAGTTCTATTCTAAAACCAATTGGCAATAGAAGGAGTAACCCACCAAACTTATATATTGGACTTAGAACCATCAATTTTTCGATATGGGATGGGATTGGGTTTGTACACCCAACAAACCTCCCTTCAAACACAAGACCACGTTGGGTCTCCTCTTAAACGAAATTCATATGATCCGACCATCTTGTACCGTCGTTATCACCCACGGAACCCGCCGTCTGACCACATCTTTTTTTCAGGAAGACTTTCGCCACAAGGCACACGGATCCACCGGCCCTTCCGACTCCACAGGGAACATGCCACGTCATCTACATCGCAACTGGGCTACCAACCGTGGCTCTGATACCAATTGTTAGGACCAACAATTCAAAACTCAGTTTTCCATCAAGCCCAACATACAAGCCCAAATGGGGTTCCATTCTAAAACCAATTGGCAATAGAAGGAGTAACCCATCAAACTTATATATTGGATTTGGAACCTTTAATTTTTTGATATGGGATTGAGTTTGTACACCCAACAGATAAAACACAAGTACTAGTCTCTTTTGCTTGGTGATATTATATATCACAGTTAGTAACCATTTTTTGCTTGCATCAAAGCTAACTCGGTGTATATTTTGTGTTAGCTTTGGTATATCAAAGCTAACTGGGTTGTATATTTTGTTAGTTTTTTATGATGTATTTGTTGGAATATCACTTGTAAGTTGTGTTAAATTCATTCTAAGGGTAAATGAACCTAGTTTATAAGTCTAGTAAGTTACTCCTCCCATCACCAATTGGTTTTGAGATGAAAACTCACTAAAGTGTTTACCCTCTCATGGTACGCTTCACCAGGTGGGACTGCATCCTCTTCCCCTGGTTCTGTTATGGTATCAGAGTGTGACTGTCCTAGGACCTTCAATCGTTTTCTCTACCCGGCCTGATCTGAGCTTGGACTTACTTTACCCAACATGCTCTGTGGGTTTGGGATTATGAAGGACTCACAAGCGAGGGGGCATGTTGTAATATCACTTGTGAGTTGTCCCACATTGATTCTACATGATAAATGAGTCTAGCTTATAAGCTTAGTGAGCTACTCCTCTCATCAACAATTAATTTTAGGATGAAACCTCACTAAAGTGCACCTAGCGGGCGAAGTTGATGCCGGTCTCATGTCCCTTGTCTCGGCTCAGCTCTCCCTCCTCGATGGGCAAATCTTGTTGGTCTCCGTGGCAACTGGTGATGGGAATGGGTTCCCAGGCATTGTATACAACTTTTTCAGTGGACGGTGCGAGGACTGACAATATTATGCCTCTTGGTTTTTCATCTGTTGCTCTTGGGGTGGGGATGGTCGGTCTCTTCTGGCGGGTTTGGGTGCGTTTGGTTGTTGATTAGGTTTATTGTTGTTGATTTCGGTTGTTTTGTATTTTTTCCTTTTCTTCGTTTTGTTCAGACATATGGAGTCCTGTGATTTTTTGAGCCCAGTCAGGGCCTTGATTATATACAAGTTCGTTTGAAAGGAGGTCTCAACTTTGTTGATGCAGGTCAAGTTAGTCTTATCCGTCCGAGTGTCGGAGTTTGGGGTTCGAGACCTGCGTTGAGGAGCTTTGATCCTTCTTTTTTTTTTTTTAAA